GGCGCAAGGTAGTTCCTCTGAGGGTGTAAGAAAAGCCGAAGAAAGAAAGTTCGCGCCCTCGGGCGTTGGAGGATCTAGGAGGGGGAGGTAGGCTTTCCTTGGCCTCCGGTGGAATCTTCCTGTGTCCTGGTGGCCTGTTTGCTTCTCCCTCTGATTGGGGTTTTTGCCTTGGGAAAGTTTCAGTGTTCCTAGAGGAGCTGTCCTCCTCCCGAGTGCTGATTAGGGAGAAGAAGGAGCCTGCCTGCTCCAAGACTGGGCAGGCAACAGTGGAAGACGGGCCTGAACATGTCAAGGAGCAGCGGGCTTTTAAGGCTGCAAGGGTCGGATAGGAAGGGGCTACCACTATGTGCCACTGAGGCAGAAGGAGGCAAAAGCATATTTTTCCGTGCTGGAACTGAGATTTACAGCACAATGCACGGTCTCATTCGCAGCCACCCTTTTAATACCTATCTCTTTCTTCCCCCCGGGTAAGTACAGTTTCCAATCTAGTTATCTAAGTATCCCATAACCTCATTCAACACCTGTAGCCAAAGGTTATTCCAGCACCAATGTGAAGCAGCAAAGAGAACAGTGGAGTCAAAACCCTGGTTCTGTGTTCTGACTCCCTACCTCCGTGAGTCCTGACAAGTGATTTAATTCCTCTGCTTTCCTGCTTTCTGCTCTGTGAAATATCTCAGACAGCTTCTGAGGTATTTAGTCACGAAATCATCTCAAGTTACTTTTGCAGTCTTTCTACACTTAAATTGATACACTATATTGATGTAAATAATCTGAATGGGTGAAATATTGTTCCTCTCTCAGCAAAGGTGTGCATTTGAAATAGAACACAAATGGCAACTTTAATTTTTATTTAATTATGTGTGTATGTGTGTGTGTGTGTGTGTGTGGTACTAAGGATTGAACCCAGGGCCCCATACTTGCTAAGTATTGGGCTCTAACACTGAGCTACACCTGTAATATATAAGTTCATGTCAATAACCAAAAATGGTATTCTGATGACTCATAAAATAGACTAAATAAGCTGGCTGTGGTGGTGCATGCCTGTAATCCCAGCAGTCAGGAGGCTGAGGCAGAAGGATCACCATAAGTTTGAGGCCAGCCTGGGCTACATAGTGAATTTGAGTTTAAGGCCAGTCTGAACTACATAGCAGTGAGACTCTGTCTAAAAAAAAAAATGGATTAAATATATTTTGCATAGTGGGACAGATGTGAGCTTTTTGGGTACCAGAGGCAAAATGTTATGTGTTTGATAAAAATGTTCCCCCAAGATTAGAAGATGCAGGCATAACTACAAACACACTCCTTGGGCCCTTTATCTTTGACAAAGGAGCCAAACATTTCTTCACTGGAAGAAAGATAGCCTCTTTAAAAATAATGCTGGAGAAATTGGCTCTCCACATGCTGAAGATTAAAACTAGACCCATGTCTATTACCATGCACTAAACTAAAGTCAAAAGGGATGAAAGACCTAAATATTAAAACACAAACACTAAATCTACCAATAGAGAAAGTAGGTAAAACTCTTGAAGACATAAGGATAGGCAGAGAGTTCATGAAAAAAACCCAAAGTGCACGTGAAACACTTGAAAGAATCAACAACTGGGATCTCATCTTACTGAAAAGTTTTTGCACATCAAAAGAAATCACCAACAGAGTAAAAAGAAAACCCATGAATTGGGAAAAAATTTTAGCCAACTGCCCCTCAGACAAAGGGCTACTATCTAGAACATATAATTTTAAAAAATCAGACCCCCCAAAATTCAAAGACCCAACCCAAAAATGGGTATCTGAGATGAATACACATTTCTCAGTTGAAGAAATACAAATGGAAAAAAAATATATGAAAAATGTTCAACATCATTACTCATTCAAGAAATGCAAATGGAGTGTTACTCAGCTATAGAGAAAGATAAACTCAAGGCTTTTGTAGGTAAATGGATACAACGAGAGACCATACTCATAAGTGAAATAAGTCAGACCCACATGTGTAAACATTATATTGTCTCCCTAGTGTAAGAGCCTGAAAGAGTAAATAAAACCCAAAAGGTACAATAGATATTGTGAAAGGGAAAGAAATTGCTCAAAGGGAAGGAACAACCAAGATGAGGGAAAGGTGAAAAGAAAGAAGGGAAAAATATATACATATATTCAAGGATAGCTGGGTAATTGTGTTGCTGATGTCTATTGGTTTATTGAAAGGAACAGTTAATACCTAAATTTTTTTACCTATTTTGCATGCTTATATCTGGTAATATGAATAACCAATTTGAAGACAACAATATGCAATATAACAACCATTGTTGAATTCCTACCATCTTGTTTAGTGAAGCTCTGTATTGTTTCTAATTTTTTTATTATTTTTTATTCTCTTTAATTGTTTAATCAATCTTGCATTCTTACATCTGGTAATCTGAAGATAACAATATGTAAAATAGCGAGCACTGTTAATTTCCTATCATCTTGTCTTGAAGTTCTGCATCGTTTTTTATTGTTTTGTTTTTGTCTTTGTTGTTGTTATTTTGTTATTGTTTTTCCTCTCTTTAAAATAATAAATAAATAAATAAATAAATAAATAAATAAATATGTTCCCCCAAAGTCTCAGGTGTTCAGAAGAAAGGCTGATCAGAAGAGGCCAGTCACTGCAAGAGAACCCGGAAGGGTACATTCTTGTCCCTAACCTGTCACTCAATCTCTCTCTCTCTGTCTCTCTGTCTCTGTGTCTGTCTCTGTCTCTCTCTGTCTCTCTCTATCTCTCTCTGTCTCTGTCTCTCTCTGTCTCTCTGTCTCTCTCTCTGTCTCTCTCTCTCTCTCTCCCCCCCTCCCTTGGCTACTTTGAGTTGTGAATGTTGGATATTTTGTCCCGGGTATCAGAAAATGACTATACACACATCTTTTTTCATTGATTCTCACCACAAATTTGTGAGTTGGAAGTCGAATTCTGTCTTCCCTGACACACAAATTATGAAAAGGGATTCATGGAGCTGTCATGACTTGCTACAACTTAGCTCTTCTCATGACAACCTAAAAATATACTATTCTGTTTCAGTCAGGAGTACTTTCGCTTTTTTTGCATTTATTCCTTTCATGGTGCTAATACTATTTTCAAGAGAGGAAACTCAAATTTTAGTGAATTACATATGTCTATCTCTTGTACATGGATGTGATTAACATATTTTACACTTATAGCACTTCAAAGGGTTTTTACATGCATTCTCTCAATTGAAGGTCACAACAATCAGGAGATCATAAAAGAAATTTATTCAGCCCCACTGAACAGATGAAAAACTGAGACTTACAAACATTAAGGTCACAACAACCCAGGCCCTGGGTTTCCAACTGTTTCCCATGTGAACTGCACTGTATACCTTTGTTTATGGGCTGTAAATAGAGTGCCTGTAGGAATCAGTGAGGCAAAATTAATGGCAGCAATATCAATATATACATTGTATTTGAGTGAAGGATAAGAGCTGCAGGGAGCCAAGAGCAGACACATGGCCTCTCAGCTGCAAGTTGCTTTGTGGGAATGGAAACCTCAGATGTAAGGATTATGATGTTCCAAGAAGATTCAGGAATCCAGATTTTCTGATAAAATATCTTTTGTAATGTTGACTAACACATAAACAAAAACAAAGCCGAGGCAAGCCTAATAGAACTTCTGTCGATAATATGCCCCCCATATGCTGTGTGTCTGTTTATCTATTTCTGCATATGCATCATTTAAGTTTATCCCAGAAAACAGGGACCGAACTGAGTCTTTGTGCTATGGGTCTGATTCTGATGGCATCTGTGTGCCTACGGAATTAGTGACTATCAAGGTTTGGGTCCAAATAATCATGATTTACAAAGATAGGTTTGTGGGCACTGGTGTTTCTAAATGTCTGGCTATTTTGAAAGCCATCGATAAGAATGATCACAGTAAGTCAAATAATTTTTAAGTCACAAAGACACATACACATTTTACTTGATGATCATGACAAAATATTGATGATCTGGTGACAACAATGATAATGATGATGACAAAAAGGACAAACAGAAATTGACCTAATTCTATTGCCTTTTATGAAGATTCTGAAGGAACCCTGTCAAAAATAGCCACGGGGCTAAATAGGTAACTCCAGTTATATGTGTGTAATCATTCTTAGATTAGTCTAGCCCTGTCAGTATTACCTATAGAGCTGGAGGTAAAATGGAGAAAATAATAGATGTTCCTCAGGTAAAATTATTAAATGAGCCCAACAGGGAAACTGAACTTCTCATAGAAATTACACTAAAGGCCAAAATGAAGAAATAATTCACATTACACAAAGCGTGATTGTCATTAATTGTATGTTAGAGCAATTGCAATAAAACTTTCAAAAAATACAACCTTCACCAGAGTTTTTTGGCTGAAATATTTTATATTAAATGCCAATCCATAAATAAACTACTGTAGTTAGAGAAAAAAGAAAAGGAAAAAAACTATCTCACTGATTTTAATCATATCATAATAGCAAAAGACGTTAAAGAATCCAAACTTGAAGTGATATTAGAATCTATTATTTTTTAAATTAACATACAAAATCCCATCATACCTCAACTGAGGTTTTAAGGTATTCTACAACTCTGTGGCTGGACCTAAAAAAAGGTAAAAATAAAAAACAATGGTGCGAACAAACTAAAATCAGCCAACTGATGCATTAAAAAAGTAAAATCAAATTTAAAAGCTCTATGGCACTTATACACTCAAAACAAGCAAGTGCAGAAGGCAAAGGAACTGCAATTGGCTTAATTCCCCTCCCCACACACCACTATGGACACAGAGACTTAAATATGTCTTCACTTTCTTGCTGATAACCAGACTGACATAGACATCAATGTAGTAAAATTCCACCTGAATTAAAGGTAGGGTCCTAGAATGAGAACCTGTAGAATTTGGGTCTCCTTATCCCATTCTTATGACCCCAATGTTGACCCTTATCTCAGAAAACATGTAATTTATTTTGTGCATCTTTGAATTGCAGAGAAAGACATGAATTCAGAGACTGAAACTTTCCAACGAAAGTAATTCAAGGACTCAAAAGCAATGTACTTCATAGCAATGAGCACAGCTGGATCCCAGACATGGTTTCTAAATCCTACTGTCCACTGAAAAGAAGCAAAGATCCTTGGGAAATGACTCCTGGTTTGCAGGGAAACCAGGAGGTGAAACTGGAATGTCCTGATGTGCCAGAAAATGAGGAGCAGTTCAAAGACTGATGCAGTCAAAAGGACAAAGGAACCAGCTCTAAGTGATTGCCCATGGATCAAATATATGAAAATTTGAGTCTCAAAAAGAATAATTACAATAATCAATAACAATATATTGGATAAAGTGAAACATCATAGTCTGCAATATGTTCAAAAAATGTAAACTAATTTTTTTCAGAACAATATAGTACAGCAAGTGTAGAAGAAATGATAGAATTAGAAATTCATTTTGAAATGTCTGATGCAATAACTAAAGATCATTAATGGGTACTAAAACCATTGGATGGAAGGTTGTTGTGAAAGTGATATTCATACAATCTCAAAATATTACTCCATATTATTAGTTACCAGTTTAGAAGGGAAAAGTGCAGCTGGGTGTGGTGGCACACTCTTGTATTCGCAGCGCTCTGGAAGGTTGAGGCAAGAGGATTGTAATTTCAAGCTGAGTGTGGGCTCTTAGCAAAAGCCTGTCTCAAGATAAAAAATTAGTTAATGAGTCCTTGACTGATCAATATTGCATGTCTCTATTTGTTTTCATGAGAAACCACTTTGAAGATATCAATATGTAATACAACAAGCATTGTTAATTTCCTACCACTTTGTCTGTAACTCTGTATTGTCTGTACTGTTCTTTTGCTATTTTGTAAAAGGTTGTCTGTCTGTTAATGTTTTCCTCCTTTTATTTTTAAAATAAAAATAAATAAATAAATAAAAATTAAAAAGGGCTGTGGGGCTGGGGATATAGCTCAGTGGCACAAGCACCTGCCTGGCAAGTGCAAGGTCATGAGTTTGATTCCCAGCAAACCCCCCCCCAAAAAAAAGGGCTGTGGATGTGACTCACTGCAAAGGGCTTGGGTTCCATCCCCATTGCTAGGACACTTAACACACACACACACACACACACACACACACACACTGAAAAAGTGCACTTTTATAATGCATAATTTACATAATGACTACCTTAATCAATGAAATGATCAAACTTGGAATCACTAATAATTTACCAATGTTTCATATGCCTCCTAATGTGACTTGTTAAGTACACATATCACCTGTGGAGTATACTTGACAAACATTTAGCCTAAATCACATAAGGAAACAAATCAGACAAATTTAAATGGAGGGCCGGGTATGGTAGCACACACCTGTTATCCCAGAACTCGGGAGGCTGAGGCAGGAGGATCGTTACAAGTTCAGGGGCATCTTGGGCTACAAAGTGAGCTCAAGGCCAGCCTGCACTGCATATTGAGACCCTGTCTCAAAAAGACAAAAAAAAAATTAAATGTAAAGTTCTATAATACAAGTGACCCATATACTTCTATAATACAATCAATCAACAAAGAGCCGATGTCATGAAAACAGACAAAAGGACTATTCTAGAGGATAAGTAGACATATATTCCAAACATAATGGATGAACCTTAGTGGGATCCTAGATCAAAATGGGGAAGAAGAACCATCTATAAAAGATATTTTCAACAGCTAAAATCAAATATGACTGTGTGCTGGATAGTACTGAATTAATGTGAATTTTCCTTGGCAGTGTTGTAGTTTTTTAGAAAAATCTCCTTATTCTTAAGACAAGCATACTAAAGTGTTATGCCAAACATACAAAATGGCTAAAAATCTGCAATTGTGCCTGGTTCTACCTATATTGAGAGCTGAATGTCACACTATCTGCAACTTGTCTTTAAATGGTTAAGCAAAACATTGGCAGGTATGTCATACATAGGGCAGGAGGAAGGTATATAGACCACATAAGACAAAAGGTTAACAGCTGATGCATGTTGCTACGAGGGCAGGAGGTGCTCATGTGAAATTCTCTCTGTTGGTTTAAAAATTCTGAAAACATAAAGTTGAGGAAATATTAGGGAAAAGGTGAAAAACCTCAGACTTTTTCAATTAAGGATAAAACAGTTTACTTAGGAAAACTCAGTCTCACAGGACCTTACTGCTCTGTCTCTGGAGGATTCTTCTCTCTCCTGTGTGGTGATTTCTCTCAAGCTCAGCCGTCTCCTGCTGCTGACCATGCTGCCTGCATTGGTTCTCACTGATGCTGAGGACTGTCTGAGACTTAGCGGTACCTTCCATCTGGACCACAGTTTTGAGTTGCCAGCTCAGAATTTCCACAGTGATGTCCTTCTGAATAGACATCTCTACTTAGAAATCCTCTGCTGTGACTTCTGGCAAATATATTAATGCTTATTTCTAAATTACCCTTTGTATCTCTTCAGCATCACTCAGGAATCTCTAGATCTTTTTCACAACATGTACCAGCTACTGTTCTACATACAAGGCATGCCACCATTTGTATGTTACCATGGCCACTCATGATGGAGCAGGACTTTTCTTAAAGGCTGCCAGCCTCTCAGATACTGACATTCCCAGATTCCCCCCAAAACTATGAATCCACTATGTTACATTGTGAGTAAAGGACACTATCTCAGCTCTAACTCACTTTCCACAAATACTCCAACTCCTCCCCAAGCATGTTGACATGCGGGGGCTTCCTTAGGGGCATATCCTTCATGCTGTCTACATTGTGGCTCATTCAGGTGGGTGAGGTTGATCTAGGTTTGTTGACCTGTGTTTTTTTTTTTTTTTTTTTTTGGTTTTTCTCCAGTACCGGGAACCGAACTCACGACCTTGCGCTTGCCAGGCAGGCGATTTTGCCGCTGAGCTAAATCCCCAGCCCCTTGACCTGTGTTTTGCATGAAGCATTTGACAGATTAATAAGACACAGAAGTTGAAGAGACTGACAAGAAACAAGAAGTGCACTATGAAAACTGCCAGAAATAGGAAGGGTGTGAGGAAGGGTGGAGCTGACCATCTCATTCCTTAGTTAATATCCCTACAGTGTGGTGTCATTGCTTATAGAAAAATGATCCAAATGACCAGCATATTTACATAGAAATGGTTCCTCTGTCCCTCTCTGCCTTGTTCTCCACACTCAAACCAGCCACAGAGGGCACCAGAAGAAAGTAAGACAAATACACATTTTGTGATGAGTTCTACTTGCTTTCTTTTCCACATGGACCCTTTCAGCCTGGCTTCTTTAACTAAATCATTTTTGGTTCCACGCAATTACTTTTCATTAGATAGCCCCTTTTCTCTGTTAAACTCATCATTAATTTTTCTTCTTTTCTTCTTCTTGAAACCCAATTGGTCTTCCATTCTCTCACCTCTCTGATACATCTGCATGTTGATGCCTTATCTTCCCATTGTATAGAGGAAAGCATTCTCCTATGACAGTTTAAATAATACAGCGCAAGCTTCCGGTGTCCTACAGAGTTCTCTGGCATCAGCTTCCCTTTCTAAACTCTTCTACTCTACTCTCAACACTCTATGTTCTAGCCACACTGCACTCTTGGCAATTCCTTCAATATGTCACATGTGTTAACACGGCTTTGCTTTTCTTCACATTGTTTCTTTACTTCCCACCTTCACACAGTCATAGGCAAACCTCCAGTCACAAATGGCACCCTTCTCCAGCACCTGTTGAGAAGAAGTGGCCCCTTTTGTGTATTACCACAGCATATTGCTGATACTTTTATCACTCAGATTTACCTTATTTACATTATGTCTTGGTAAACTGTATTGAAGTCTGTCTCTCCATTGAAGTAGAAGGTCATATGGGGTGAGATTTTTATTGGTCATTATAATAAGAGCTGAGCTCCTAGTTGAGTGGTGGGTAGCTCCTTGATTGGAGTAGTAAGGGATAGGATTGAAAAGGTACTTTGTGATCAGGTAAGGAAGCCCATGGATGTCAAATTATAAAGAGTAGAAATCAGTATATAATAGATATTTAGCACATATTTTAATTGAAGATCTGTACATAACATAAATTTCTTCTTTACCACTTAACAGATCCTAACACATTTTGCATAGAGAAGGAAACATTTCCTTTATTCTTTGAATATTATTCATTCATTCATTCATTCAACTTGTATTGACTATGACCTGCAAGGGAACTTACAGACTATCTAATTCAGCTTTTCAGTTTAAACATAAAAAATGAGGCCCAGCAAGCTGAAGTGATCTGCTGTGGGCTTCACACTTCCACATCCAAAAGAAATAACTGCAAACTCGTCATTGCACTGCCTCCTAATCCAAAGCTTCCCAATTTTAATCAAAATTCTTACAAATTTGCGTGTGTGACAGAAAAAAATTAAGACACTCTAGAAGGCCTCCGAGGAAAAAAAAATACCCTGGTTACCAAATTCAAAACTTTCAGAAATGAGAGAAGTTATACTCTACCTCAGACCCTTCCAGCTTTAGATCCAATTTTATAAAAGCTTTCTAGCTTGATTCATTGTTTTCATCATTCTTCACTCTGCAAATTCATTCCACATATCTCTGTCAACACATCCTGCCTCCCAAACCTAAAATGAATGTTTCATCAGTCACCTATTTAAAAACCCTGCCTACTTGCCATTGATTAAGAATAGGATATTGATTACAGGATGAAAGACAGGTCTAGATTCAAATCGTGCCTCTGTTCTGCCAATTTCTTCAAGCAGATCTCAGAAATCTTATGTCTTTAACTTCTACAGCTGACAAGTGGGAATAAGAGAGTTCATGGTTTATACTAGAGTTCAACTAAACTTTAAAAAACTCCACATATATAAGTTATTGTGGTACCAGGGATGGAAACCAGGGCCTTTGCACAGACCTATTTTTCACTTTGAGACAGTGTCTCACCAAGTCACTAAGTGACTCGGGCTGGGCTCGAATTTGCCATCTTTCTGCTCAGCCTCCCAGGGTTCTGGTATTACAAGTGTGTGCCACCAGGCTCTTTCCACATAATTTAATTATATCAACAGCAAATGCGGGAGGGGTCAAACCTGCTCAAACATATCAATAGCATTCAAAAAAGAGAGAAGGATATATCACAACCTTTAAAAGCTATTGATTATGAAGACACAGAAGTCTCCACAAATTTGGAGAACAGAGCTCAAAGTAGTATAACAAGCCCCTAAATATCATCCTTTAAACTTGTACTATGTAGGAAATGCGAGTAAACAAAATCCTGCAAAATTTAACCCCCACCCCACATCATGGGGAAGATAGATTCAGATGAGGGATGGGTGATCCCTAGAAGAAACAGGTAATTTTGCAACCAAAGAATAGT